GGCGTGTCGGGGTTTCGGCTGGTGCCCAGTCGGTGGGCGCCTCGTGGGCGCCGGGTGGGCGACCCGCGCTTGGGTGGCGTGTCGGCGCCTCGGCTGGTGCCCGCCCGCGGGCGCCTCCTGGGCGCCTCGTGGCCGCCTCGTGGGCGCACCACGTAGATTGCACCGCGCAGACTGCACGAGACAGCGCGCACCACATGGCTTACATCACACAGCTTGCACCACGTAGATTGCACCACATAGCTTGCACTGAATGGCCGAAACTGCATAGGTTACGGCGCAGAGCTCACACGACACAGCTTGCATGACACAGCCTGCACCACATAGCTAACACCGATTAGCCTACGGTGCATCCTTAGCCCACACAACACAGCTCAAACGGCATAGCTTAGACAGCAGAGCTCACACAGCAGAAGGTACACAACAGAGATAACACCACATAGATTACACCACATAGTTCACACCGCAGTTTACATCACATGGCTGCCACCTCCACAGCGCAATGCTCGGGATCTACGCTGGCCAACGCTGTTGGCCGTGCTTTCGTCATGAAAACCACGGCGAACTTGATGTTGCCATTTTTCGGCCTCCGGAGGTCCTTGTCAGGCCCCAGGGCCGTCAACAAACGACCCGGGACGAACAAAAACGACTCTGGGAAGCCACGCTCCCAGACATGCGATGACTTGAGTTTTGAAGGCGGGGTCCCAGGAGGTCCCGACCGTTTCCCCGGGACGGGCTTCATATCCAGAGTCGTTGTTCGACGATCTCATGGCCCGGCGAGGGCCCCAGAGGCCAAAAACGGCCAAAAACCTTCTGCCGCGATGCTGCCACGGCGCCAGCCTCAGGGAAAGGATCACGATGGCGGATGTCTGGGTCCGCAGGGGCACGGGCCGAGGCTGTGCCTGTGGAGACCGCGCCCGACAGCATGCTTCACTGCGAGGAGGAGGAGGAGGAAAAGGAGGAGGAGGAGGAGGAAAAGGAGGAGGCGGAGGAAGAGGAGGAGGAGGAGGAGGAGGAGGAGGAAGAGGAGGAGGAGGAGGAGGAGGAGACTCGTGCTGCAGTGCCTTGCGACACGCTGAGCTTGTGCGCGTCTTGTCCAGCTCGAGGGGTGCCAGAAGTGGTCCTGCGATCCAGACCTCCTCGCGTCGTGAAATAACACGACGGACGACTCGCTGCTGTTTTCGGCCTCTGTGGGCTTTCGCCTGGCCCTGGGACCGTCGAGAAACGACCAGGGATGAAAAGCTGGTCCTGGGAATGCGTCGAGGCCTGTGGGCGTCGACAGTGTGAAAAAAATGACGTCGGGGGTCTGGGAGGTGGTCCTGAGACAAGGTGGGTGTCGCCAGTTTTTCGCACCATTTCGGAGCCCCAGGGGCCTCGTGCAGGGTGCTCTGAAGGCCACCGGTGCGTCACCCAGCTGGCCCGCTGACGCGGGACCTGTGAAGGCCTTGTGGTGGATACCTCCCCTCTCCCGAACTGGAGCGGACGGACGAGCGAAGAGGCGAGCAGGGGGGCAGGAGGGGACGCAGGGGAGAAGAAAGAGGCAAAGGAGAAGAGGATGGGAGAAGGGAGGAGGGGGCGAGGAGGAGGATTTCCAGCAGCCCCGGTGGTCTCGCAGAGGCAGATAGGAAAAGGAGACAGGAAAACAGCAGAAGCAGCAGCGGCAACGGCAGCAGCACCGAAAAGCTGCCCGCCCGCTCAGATCTCGCCCCTCTTCTGCTTCTCCTCTATCATCTTCGTGTAGGCGCTCTTCTCTCTGTTCTTCTTGTTGAAATCCTCAAGCTGTGCGAAGTCCTTCCGCATCGCGATAAGAGGGGCCAGCGCTGGAGGATACTGCCCCACACAATACCAGCTCCCAGGTGCATCGCACTTTCTGTTTGCAGGGTTTGCCACCCAATCCTTGGACTCCTGAGACACGTTCAGAACTTTGAATATCCTGATCATTCCATACTTGGTGTCGTGAACGTGCTCGAACCGCTTCGAGCTGAGCTTGATCCCGTCTCTTCCATGCTTCACCGCCTTATAGACGAAAGACTCCCTCATCATCTTGGACGGCTCGCCTCCAGCCATGAAGCCGTACCTGGAGCACGTGGGATCGTCGTCACCGCAGATGTCCGGAAAGATCGAGTTGCCGATGCGTGCAAAGTGGGTGGAGATGCGGAGGTCTGTTTCCTGCTGGCCAGCGTGCACAAGAACATAGTCGGCGATATGCTTCATGGTGTTGTGGGACTTCTTCTCGGGGCCGGACAAGATACGCCCGATCGTCGCGATGTGCTCGTGGTTCCACGTGTTCCCGTCCGCTATGGACGTCCGGTTCCCGATTCCGGTGATCTGGTAGCCGTAGTCCCACCAAGAGAGGACGCGGGCGTCGGGCGGCGTGTTCTTCTTGAGCCACTTGTACCCCACGTATTTGTCGTCTATGAGCCCCCCCTGCCTGCTCTGTTGCACCAGCCCGGGCGAGGAGAAGCCGTACGACCGGTCTTCGCAGAACCTCACCCACTCGGACCGCTTGTTCAAGAGCACCGAGAAGCTCGACCCCACGACGAGGAAGGCAACTGCCAGCCGCACGGGCCGGTCGAGGAGGGGCCAGCGGGATGCAAGCCGCTCCTTCGCTTCCGCCAGGTCGCTGAGCTCCGGAGGGCAGGCCAGAGGCGCAAGGCACCGGAGGATGGAGCCCATGCCCCCAGTCCGGGGCGGCAGCGCCTGCCGCGCCGGCGAGGGCCGCGGGCCAGCGACAAGGCGGACCACCTGCTCCAGACACCAGTCGTACGCGATGCCGATCGGGTACGCGGCCAGCATGCCGCACGCAGGTCCGCAGATGATCATCAGGCGGCTCATCTTCAGCGAGAAGGTGTACGCGACTCCTGCGAAGATCACAGGGAATACCTTTGCGGGCGTGCCCTGGTGCCAGCACAGGAACAGTCCCACAGCAGCGACGTACCTGGAGCTGCCCAGGTAGGTCTCGTACGCCTGGGCAGTCGCCGGAGAGTGCTCTGCGACCGAGTCCACCAAAGGATTCCCCGTCTTCTGATGCTTCAGGAAGATCCCTCGAATACGAGAGCTCAACGGCGAGAAGTAGTTCATCTGGTACAGCGCAAAACAGACCGCAGCACCCACCGCAGCCGCTCCAGCGAACATCACGATGCTGGAAGAAGAGAAAACTGTACGTACACAAACGTTCGAAGGTGCACGTAGACTTCGTGGATCGGGGCTGGACCCCGTTCCATGGCTCGCAGAGCACGGCGATACAGCGCCGATCCAAGAAATCCACGCGGAGCCTCCGAAAGCGCATGCTCGTGCCGTTCTCTCTTCTCCGAGATGCGGAAGACGAAGAAGCCAACGCCGGTCATTTCCCTCTTCGGCACTTCCAAAAGTGGAGCCCAGAGCGACGAGGCCGTGGACAGTGCAAGCTTAAGTTGGAAGCCACTCCCAGACATCCTTTCGATATGATTGTTTCAATCCGCGGCTCCAGAGCCCCCGACCCCTTCGTTGGGGGTAGCTTTCCATCCTGGATCCACTTTTGGTAGCCCCAGGGCCTGATAACGGGCCCCAGGGGCCGCCATCTGGGAAAAACGCAGAAGAAGGACACATCATCAGACATCTGGGCTCACTATCATCAGGGACCCATCCCTCCGGGCGCCACCCTTGAAACCCCGGACCTAAAGGAGCCCTGGGACACACAAATAAATACACACAAATCCCAGGATTCCTCACGTTTTCCTATAATTTCTGGGTTTCCGTCTTCCCCCCACTGTCCATATCTAGCCATATTTTCCTGGGAATCGACGATTAATTGTGTCTGTGGTTTTTCCCCTCCTGCGGACCTCTTCCGCCGCCGCCGGATCACGTCGCAGAGCTCCAGCAGCTGGTAGACCCCGAACACCAGCGCGGCAGGCGCCTGCTCCAGCGACTTCAGCGGCGTCCAGCCCACCACCGGCACGAAGGTGGCCCCAGCGGTGCCCAGCACGTACCTCTCTCACACACACACACAGACACACACACACACACACACACACATACAAGCCGTACATCCAGCAGGACGCGTTGGCACGACAACCGTGTAAGGCCGCCGAAAAATTCTCACACTGCAACACAGATTCGCACTGGGAGAAAAAGAAGCGGAGGATAGAAGACAAAGACGACAAGACTATATAGCACGTACCTCGGAGAGGCAAAAGACGAAGACAGTGACCAAGATGAAACGCGGAACGCCGGTGTCGACCTTGGTCGCAGTCCACCTCGATCAAGCGTCGATTCGTGGACCATTCTCACTGATGGGCGACGGCCAACATGGAACATGACCAACCCTGAGATCCGACTTGGCGAAAAGAATGCGACATCGCAAAAAAATCACGCCTGGAGCCCTAGACTCAATCTTTCTGCGTCATATTTCGACGTGGTCCCCGTGTACATTGCTTCGAGCAGCGGCGGTGCTCCTTTGCGCTCCTCGAACTTCTCGGGCCTCCAGGAGACGCTTCCCGTCGCCACGGCTGGATCCCCGCCTCGAAGAGCGGGTCAGGATGCACAGTCGAAACGATGTCATAAAGACCCCTAGATGAGGAACGAGGTCCCTTAGTCCATTAGTTAAACCTCGATTGCCCCACGGGGAAACTAAGGAAAACCTAACACAAACCGCACAGCAATTAAGGAACACTGAGCCCCTCCCCAACGACGAGGGTTCCTTCTTCTGCGACCCGACTGCGGCCCAGGAGGGGCCCAGGGTCCGAGTTTGAGCGGATTTGGCCTGGGCGGGAGAGCCGCCGTTGGCTCAACTGGCCCTCCTCCGAGCACCACAGGGTGTACGCCCGGTAGACTCCAGAGTTGTACCCGCCCAGCGCCACGATCACGGCGGCGTGGAGGCCGATCAGGTTGTTGACGAAAATGTAGCCTCCCCAGGTGGCAACGGAGAACGTGTAGAAGGCTCCCGCGAAGACGGCCCATGGCCACGAGCGGTGCGTGCGCACAGAGCGGCACCAGAAATAGAACGTGGCGCAAAACCAGGCCATCGCGTGAGCCTCGTTGTCAAACTCCCCGGCCATGGAGCGCATGAGATGGGCCGGTATCCCAGCGAAAACGAAAGCAGCCACTACTCCAACTCCAGTGCTCTCCGAGCATTCTGCCGCCGTCATAGCCAAGAATAGAGTGGCCACAGCACTGAGCCAGGGGCCTGTCATGACGCAGACATTATTCAGAGTCATCTCAGGCGCATACTTGCCCGCGCGCCCCCATTCCAACATGCCATGCCCTGGTAGCCACTTAGCCGCACCACTGGGCAAGTAGGCTAAGATCTCCTTCGGAATCTTGTACGAGCCCTTGGGCATGTTCTGGAACGCCTCCCAAACCCAGACGCTGAAGATCTGCATGCCTGGATAGATCGTCGTACCAACAGGTCGCCCGAGAGGATACCAGCTCATGTAGTCGTACCACCTGAAAAACTCATACCATCCCTTTTTGGCCAAGTAGCGCGCTGCTGTGAAGTTGAAGGTAGGGTCGAAACCATGGATCATGTAACCAAACACAGGAACACCCCCAAGTCGGACTCGGTAGGCCCAGAGGCAAGAGCCAGCCACCAGCACAAGTTTGATCATCCCTACAACTGAATCAAACAAGAACCTGATGATCATGCACAGCACGTTCTCGCGAGACTCCGTGACGTCATCCTTCTTCTTTTGTGCGCTCTTGCTGCCCATGCTACCTTCGCTGTTCGGAGTGGTCAAAAAATAATCCAGAAGGGGGGCCGAACAAAACCTGGAAAACAACTGCGGAGGAGCAGGAGCGAGGAGGAGAGGAAGGAGAGCGAAGTCTGGAGGAGAAAAGACGAGATCGGAGGGCGAAGGACAGACGGATATATATATATATATATATAATGCATATATAAGGTATATATAGAATGTATAGGATGAGGTCTCAATGAGGAGGAGGAGGAGGAGGAGGAGGAGGAGGAGGAGGAGGAGGAGGAGGAGGAGGGGCGGGGGGCGGGAGAGCAGACGGATGAACAGAGGAGGAGCGGCAAGGAAGAAGGGAGGCGGGAGGCGGCAGGACGACTGGGCACGCGAGAGCCAACTCTCTGCAACTCCCACCCTCCCTCTCCCCTCCTCCCTCCCCCACCCCGCTTCTTCCTGCCTCTCCTCCTCCTCCTTCCTCCTTCCTCCTCCTCCTCCTCCTCCTCTCTCCTCCTCCTCCCATCCTCCTCCTCCTCCTCCTCCTCCCCTCCTCCACCTCCTCCTCCGCCTCCTCCTCCTCCTCCTCCTCCTCCTCCATCCTCCTCCTCCTCCTCCTCACCTCCTCCTCCTCCTCCTCCTCCTCCTCCTCCTTCCTCCTCCTCCTCCTCCTCCTCCTCCTCCTCCTCCTCCTCCTCCTCCTCCCTCCTCCTCCTCCTCTCCTCCTCCTCCTCCTCCTACTCCTCCTCCACCTCCTCCTCCTCCTCCTCCTCCTCCCTCCTCCTCCTCTCCTCCTCCTCCCTCCTCCTCTCCTCCTCACTCCTCCTCCTCCTCCTCCTCCTCCTCCTCCTCCTCCTCCTCCTCCTCAAGAGGGGCCCAAAGAAAGCCACACGAGGCAGAATTCCCTGCTATTCCTGAAGTTCTCAAACGGATTCATGAATCTCGCGTTTTCTAGCTTCCGACCGCCCAAAACGACCCAAGTGGCCCGCAACATCGCCCCAAGATGGCCCAAGAGGCATCCCAAGTAGGAGAAATCCGCCACAGTGCCTCTGGCACGAAGTGGAGAACCCCAAGACTCACAGCTGTGCTGCTGCAACCAGACTTGTAGTTTCTGCAAGGCCCAGAACTCGGGAATTCCGTGCCGTCCTGGGGACTCCTGGGGTGAACCCCGTGAGTTCTGGGGTGTTTCCTGCTGGTCCTCTGGACGCGACAACCCGAACCCTCCGATGTCTCCAAGAAGGCTCCGATTCGCAGAAAGATCGCTCCAAGACGCCCAAAATGGCCTTCAGACGGCCCGAGAGGCCCCAAGAGGCAAAATTCATGTAGGTATCTTCAATCGGTTTTGAAGAATTTACTTGTTTCCGCCTTTTCGGGTTCCCGACGCTGCAAGACGGCCTAGCTGCAAGACGGCCTAAAAGGTTCCAAAGATCGCCCCAAGACGGCCCAAGAGGGTGCCGAAACGGCCCAAAAGGCCTCCAAGACGGCCCAAGAGACCTCCAAGACGGCTCAAGAGGGCCCCAAGTACGCCCCAAGACGGATCCAACATTTCGAGATCTCCGCCTGCTGGGCTTCCTGGGGGCCTCTTGCCCAACAGGCCCCCAAGAGGCTCCAAAGAGGCCCCCACGAGGCTCCCAAGAGGCATCAAAATTGCTCCCGAGAGGCCTCCGAAGAAACCCCAAGAAGCGTCCATGAGGACTCTGACCCACAACCCAGGCACGGTGGCGGGATGGACCGAAGGCCACAAGATATGCCGCCCCCTGTTGATTCATCACAGGGGTGCCTGGCGTGCTGAATCCTCTCGGTTTTGGTTTTGGCTCTTTTTCCAAAAGAACTCCCCCTGGGGCTTCGGCCCTTCCCGCCGGCCACCCGGAAGGCGCTCAATTTCCCAATTGTTCCTCCAAGACGGCTCAAGATGGTCTCCAAGATGGTCCAACATGGCCTGTCAGTCCGACAAAGATGATCCAAGATGGCCTCCAAGTCCGCCCAAGATGATCCAAGACGGCCTTCAAGACGACCCACGAGAGTCCAAGACGGCCCAAGACGGCCCAAGAGGCCCCCCAGAGGCCTCCAAGACGGCCCTAGAGGCCTCCAAGAGGTCCTCCAGGAGGGCCCGAAGAGGCCAAAATCCTTGATTTTCCAAAGGATTTTGAAGGATTTTGGAATTTGCTTCTTCTCGGCATTCCGACGACCCAAGACGGCCCAAGAGGCCCCCAAGATCGCCCAAGAGGCCCCCAAGAGGGCCCCATGACGGCCCAAGTGGCCTCCAAGACGGCCCCAAGAGGGCCCCAAGACGGCCCAAGGGGCCGTCTAACACACCCTATATGGCCTCCAAGACGCCCAAGATGGCCTCCAAGACGGCCCCGAAGCGCCCCAAGAGGGTCCCACGTTGGCCTAGAAAGGCCCCGAAGACGGCTCCCGACGGCGTCAGACGGGCCAGGAACCCACCAAGATGGCCGAAGTTGGCTCGAAGCTGACCCAAGACGGCCCAAGAGGCCCCCAAGAGGGCCCCCGGGAAGGACAGAAGAGGCCGAAAACATTGATTTTCCTTAGGTTTTTGACGGATTGTGACATTTCCTTATTTTCAGCCTTCCGACGGCCCGAGACGGCCCAAGAGCCCCCAAAGATCTCCGAAAGATCGTCCAAGAGGCCTCCAAGATGGCCCCAGAACGGCCCAAGAGGGCCACAAGACGGCCCCAAGAGGCCCCCAAGACGGCACATGAGGCTTTTCAGACGCCCAAGATGGCCTCCAAGACGGCCCTGGAGCATCCCAAGAGGGCCCCAAGTCGGCTCAGAGAGGCTCCCCAAACGGCTTCCGACGGCGTCAGACGGACCAGCAGCCCACCAAGACGGCCGAACATGGCCCCAAGATGGCCCAAGACGGCCCAAGAGGCCTCCAAGAGGGCACCCAGGAAGGCCCGAAACGGCCAAAAGCATCGATTCCCCATGCGTTTTTGAAGGATTGTGGCATTTGCGTTTTGTTCTGCCTTCCGACGGCCCGAGACGGCCCAAGTGCCCCCAAAGATCGCCCAAGAGGCCCAAGACACAGCCCCAAGAGGCCCCCAAGACGGCCCAAGATGGCCTCCAAGACGGACCAAGAGCCCTCAAAAACGTCCTGCAAGAAGGCCCGAAAGGGTTAAAATAGCCTTCAGACGGCCAAGATGACCTTCATCGCAGGGGTGCCTGGCGTGTTAAATCCTCTCGGTTTTGGTTTTGGTTCTTTTTCCACAAGAACTCCCCCTGGGGCTCCGGCGCGTCCCGCCGGCCACCCGGAAGACCCGGTTGCAAACGGTTTTCCTGCCCCAGACGGCCCCAAGATGGCCTCCAAGACGGCCAAGATGCCTCCAAGACGGCCAAGATAGCCTCCAAGACGGCTCAGATGGCTCCAAGATGCCTCCAAGACGGCCCAAGGTGTACCCTAGACGGCCTAAGATAGCCTGAAGATGGCCCAAGACGGCCCAAGAGGCCTCCCAGAGGCCTCCAAGACGGCCCTAGAGGCCTCCAAGAGGTCCTCCAGGAGGGCCCGAAGAGGCCAAAATCCTTGATTTTCCATTGGTTTTTGAAGGATTTTGGCATTTGCTTCTTCTCGGCCTTCCGACGACCCAAGACGGCCGAAGAGGCCCCCAAGATCGCCCAAGAGGCCCCCAAGAGGGCCCCATGACGGCCCAAGTGGCCTCCAAGACGGCCCCAAGAGGGCCCCAAGACGGCCCAAGGGGCCTCCAACACGCCCTAGATGGCCTCCAAGACGCCCAAGATGGCCTCCAAGACGGCCCCGAAGCGCCCCAAGAGGGCCTCAAGTCGGCCCAGAAAGGCCCCCAAGACGGCTCCCGACGGCGTCAGACGTGCCAGGAACCCACCAAGATGGCCAAAGTTGGCTCGAAGCTGGCCCAAGACGGCCCAAGGGGCCCCCAAGAGGGCCTCCGGGAAGGACAGAAGAGGCCAAAAACATTGATTTTCCTATGGTTTTGGACGGATGTTGAAATTTGCTTCGTTTCGGCCTTCCGACGGACCGAGACGGCCCAAGAACCCCCAAAGATCGCCGAAAGATCGCCCAAAAGGCCTCCAAGATGGCCCCAAAGAGGCCCCCAAGACGGCACAGGAGGCCTTCAAGACGCCCAAGATGGCCTCCAAGACGGCCCTGGAGCATTCCATGAGGGCCCCAAGTCGGCCCATAGAGGCCACCCAAATGGCTTCCGACGGCGTCAGACGGACCAGCAGCCCACCAAGACGGCCGAACATGGCCCTAAGATGGCCCAAGACAGCCCAAGAGGCCTCCAAGAGGGCCTCCAGGAAAGCCCGAAGAGGCCAAAATCATTGATTTTCCGTTGGTCTTTGAAGGATTTTGGCATTTGCTTCTTCTCGGCTTTCCGACGGCCCAAGACGGCCCAAGAGGCCCAAAGATCGCCCAAGAGACCCAAGACACGGCCCCCAGAGGCTCCCAAGACGGCCCAAGAGGTCTCCAAGACGTTCAAGATGGCCTCCAAGACAGCCCAAGAGCCCTCCAAGACGTCCTCCAAGAAGGCCCGAAAGAGTCACAATGGCCTCCAGACGGCCAAGATGACCTTCAAGATGCCCACGTGTTCCCCGAAGGCTTTCCAAACCGATTCGGGGAACACATGGTCCGATAGCTTGGCAGGTCTGGCCTCAACGTTCGGCCTCATAGGCGCTTCCAAAAAGGCAAGGGGCGGCGGTGATTCGCCGTATGCGTCTTCGATCCGCCGCCCCCTTTTGATTTATCAAAGGGATGCCTGGCGTGTTAGACCCTCTCGGTTTTGGTTCTGGTTCTTTTTCCAAAAGAGATCCCCCTGGGGCTCCGGCGCGTCCCGCAGGCCACCCGGAAGACCCAGTTGCCATCGCCAAAAACGACCGTTTCGCTCGGGACATCCTCAAAAAAAATCGCGAAGATGGCTCAAGATGGCCTGCAAGATGCCTCCAAGACAGCCAAGATGGCCTCCAAGACGGCTAAGATGGCCCCAAGATGCATCCAAGACGGCCCAAGACGGCCACAATATGGTCTAAGACGGCCCCAGAAGGCCCGCAAGAGACCTCCAAGACGGCCCAAGAGGCCTCCAAGAGTTCCTCCAGGAAGCCCGGCGAGGCCAAAATCCTTGATTTTCCCTAGGCTTTTGAAAGATTTGGGCAGTTGCGCCTTTTCGGCTTTCCGACGGCCCGTGACGGCCCCAGAGGCCGCCAAGGTCGCCCCAAGATCGCCCAAGAGGCCTCCAAAATGGCCCCATGACGGCCCAAGAGGCCCCCAAGACGGCCCCAAGAGGGCGCCAAGACGGCCCAAGAGGCCTCCAAAACGCCCAAGATGGCCTCTAAGACGGCCCTGGAGCACCCCAAGAGGGCCCCAAGTCGGCCCAGAAAGGCTCCCGAAACGGCTTCCGACGGCGTCAGACGGGCCAGGAGCCCACCAAGATGGCCGAAGGTGGCTCGCAGCTGGCCCAAGACGGCCCAAGAGGCCTCCAAGAGAGCCTCCAGGAAGGCCAGAAAAAGGCCAAAAATAATGATTTTCCAAAAAAAGGTGTTCGAAGGATTTTGACATTTGCTTCGTTTCGGCCGTCCGACGGCCCGATACGGCCCAAGAGCTCCCAAAGATCGCCCAAGGATCGCCCAAGAGACCAAGATGGCCCCAGAACGGCCCAAGAGGCGCCCAAGACGGCCCCAAGAGGCCCCCAAGACGGCCCAAGAGGTCTCCAAGACGCTCAAGATGGGCTCCAAGACGGCCCACGAGCCCTCCAAGACGTCCTCCAAGAAGGCCCGAAAGAGTCACAATGGCCTCCAGACGGCCAAGATGACCTTCAAGATGCCCACGTGTTCCCCGAAGGCTTTCCAAACCGATTCGGAGAACACATGGTCCGATAGCTTGGCAGGTCTGGCCTCAACGTTCGGCCTCATAGGCGCTTCCAAAAAGGCAGGGGCCGGCGGGGATTCGCCGTAGGCGTCTTCGATAGGGCCCTAAAACGTCACATGAGGCCCCTCAAGTAGGCCCAAGAAGCTTCAAGCGGTCTCCACAAGGAGCGCGCGAGGAGGACAGCGAATGGGCCTTTGAAGCTTTCATCCCAATGATTCCCCAAGGCCCCCAGGATGCCCCCAACAGGCCCCCGACAGGCCCCCAGAGGCCCCAAACACACCCAAGAGGCCCTCAGAAGGCCCCAAGAGGCCCCCAAAGTGGATCTAAGAGGCCTCCGACAAAGGCCTGCCGAGAGACCCCAACAGCTCTCGTCCACAACCCCATCACGGTGACCAAATGGGCCCAGTGCGGCTGTCCGCCGCCTACGAAGCCACCAAGACGGCCCAGAGGAACCCGAGATGTCCCAAGAGGGCCCCAAGACCACCTAAGAGATCCCCAAGACGGCCCGAAGATTGCCCAAAGAGTCACCCAAGACAAGCCAGTGGGCCCCTCGCGGCGGCAGCGACGGCGGCGCCAGCACGACCACGACCGCGACGACCGCGACGACCGCGACGACCGTGGCGGCGGCGCGGCGGCGACGGCGGCGGTGACGCCCCACAAAGATTGCCCTCTCCGCGCGCGCCCTTTCCTCGTGCCCTCCTACGCCTCCTCCTCTCCTCGCCCTCGGTTCCCCATGATCCCTCCCTCCCTCCCTCCGTCTTTCCCTATTTCCCTCCCTCCATCCCGTCATCCTCTCTCCTCCTCCCTCCTCTTCATCCTCACCCTCCCTCCCAGTCCCTCCTCCCACTGTCCCTCCCTCCCTCCCTCCCTCCCTCATCCCTCCTCCTCTCCCCTCCCCCGTCCTTCCCTCCTCCTCCAGAGCTGGAGGGCCAGCGCACCCCAGGTACGTGGGACAGGTCAGGTGCGCAGCGTGCCGCAGCGTTCCTCCCCGTGACCTCGGATAGGCGCAGCCGTCGCGCTCCCCGCCTCCACCTGCACCTGACACCCTCGCGTGACAAAACAGAAAAAACAAAAAAACGATAGAGATGTTCGGCAATTCTTAGCACTCGGGTGCAATAACGGGGCCCCAGAATTGAAAAGAACGGGTTGGGGTGAAAAACAGTTCCTGGGAAAAGGTCCGAACCTCTGGGGAACCAGGTGCTGAGAAAGCACGACGTCTGATGTCTGGGTTCCGCCTCCCTCCTTACTCCTGCTAATTGGCGGCGCGCACAAATGGGCGGCGCGAAGAAGCTGGCCTTTTAAGCAGGGGGCCTCTCGGAAGGCAGAGGCGTTCTAAGAAGGGTCCGGAGGCGTCCAAGAGAAGTCCTAGAAGCCAGGAGGGCCCCTCAGAAGCTCCCTGCCTTTTCTTTTGAAGCCCCACGCCGTCTCGGAAGCCCCCCAAGCATGGCGCCCCCGTGTGTTCGCCACCAAGCTGGGGCTTGCCTTCCACCCTGGGGGATAGAGATGAGAGGGTTGTTTTTTTCTATGGGATCCAGGGACACATGGATAAACAAACAAATCTCTGGATTCCCCATACGTTCAATTTTCTGGATGCTCGCCGTCCCCTCCACTTCCCATATGTTCCCATAATTCTTGGGGATCGACGATTTAATTGTGTCTGTATATCTTTCCGTCTTGGCTGAGGGCCTTCGAGGCTCCCGCAAACTTCTAGGAACATCTGCGGGCCTCTTATGACCTCTGGGGACCAGGATCTGGTGCGGAGCTAAAAACCCAACCCCGCCAAGAAGCCCTGAAGGGCGTTTGCCACATGCTGCGCCAGAAATTTCGCCAGACGACACCCCGCGGGCAACCAACTGCGCACCATTGCGCCACAAATTGCGCCATGAGTTACGCCAAAGGCTGCGCCAGGAACCTCGCCATCGACCAAGACGTCCCCTGTCACAGGTCGATACAAAGTTGCGCCATACGTTGCGCCATAGGTTGCGCCGTAGGTTGCGCCGTAGGTTGCGCCGTAGGTTTCGCCGTAGGTTGCGCCATGGGTTGCTCCATACGTTGCGCCATAGTTTGCGCCAAGTACCCTACAATCGACCAGTTTATCAGTTCTCTCAGTGGGCGCACGCTTGCGCCACACATTACGTCATAATGGGGCGCACAGGTTACACCAAGCATCCCGCAATCGATTAAATCTGCTGTTGTCGATATGGGTGCGCTATTGCGCCATACGTTGCGCAGTCGCTTGCGCCATAGGTTGCGCCAGGCAGCCCGCAGTCGACCAAGTCTTCCATTGCCTCAGTGGGCGCACCATTGCGCCATAAGTTGCGCCATGGGTTACGCCAAAGGCTCCACCAGGCACCTCGCTATCGACCAAGTCGTCCGTTGTCTCAGGTCGGTGAAGCATTGCGCCATACATTGTGCCACAGGTTGCGCCATGGGCTGCGCCATGCACCCCGCAATCGACCAAATGGTCAGTTGTCTCAGTGGGCGTACGCTTGCGCCACACATTACGCCAAAACTAGGGCGCGCAGGTAACGCCAAACATCCCATGATCGATGAAAGATTCATTGTCGTTGTGGGCTCACTGTTGCGACACATGTTGCGCCATCGTCTGCGCCATGGGTTAATCCAGGCAGCCTACAATCGACCAAACCGTGCCTTGTCTCGGTCGGTGCACACTTGCACCATAGGTTGCGTTGTAGGGTGCACAATAGGTTGCGCCACGCACCCGCAATCGGCCGAATCGTTCGTTGCCTCATTGGGCACACCTCCGAAATCGTTCTCCAGCCCGCTACGAGACGCCCCGTTTCTGGACTCGTGGGCGCAGCGCTCGAGAAAGGAAGGTGGGCGGAAGGCGGCGGAGGTACAGAGTAGTGCTAGCTTCAGGGTCGGTCTGCATGATCAGGGCCTACGGCGCCGCCCCCTCAGACTGCGACGACATCCTGGGCCGCTGGACGGAGCTCGTGCACCCGAAGGAGGACTCCTGGCCAGCCACGCCAATGCGGCGCATTGAAGGCCCAGGAGCCCTGATCGCGGCAGCGGCCACGCCCGAAGCAAAGACGGCCAAGCTGCGGCAACCGAACCAGCATCTGCTCATTCTGGACCAGCAGCTCGCAGAGGCCACCAATGGGGCGGACGCACAGCTCGGTTGCGAGCCCGGGGGGAACGAGACGGAGAAAGCCTTCTCAGGAGGCTCGGAAGTCTCCAGGCCTTCTGAGAAGTTTTCTAAGCCTTGCCCGAGGACACAGAAAACTTCTCAGAAGGCGCGAGGGCTTCTGAGAAGTCCCGCCGCCTGCTGAGAAGACCCTCTCCTTCTCAGTTCCCCCCCCTAGCTCGCCGCCGAACAGTACCGGGCAGCCGAAGCATCGGAACGAGCGACGGCCAAACGCGGGCAGGCCAGCAGCGACCCAGCCGCACCTGGGGTGGCAAGCCACGGGACGTCCGCGACAAGGCCCCGGACCCCCGACCCTGCTGGGGCCAAGGCGCGCGCCGTCTTCCTAGGCGTTTTGCGACCAGCACCTGCAGGCCAAGTACGGCTACAAGGTGGACGCCCAGGACCTGGGCCCGCATACGCGATTTCTCTGCGATCGTAGGGAGAGCGGGGCACACAGGCGCTGTCCCACCCCCCGCGAGGCGCGCTTGGAACTCTGACCAGCACGTCCGGAGCCACGTCGTGGGCTGGCTCATCGGGATCGAGGAAGCGGAGCCTGACTGGACGGAGCTCTACGCCCAGCGCACCTGGCACCTCGCACCCACCATCCGTGCACCGGCAGCGGCTACTGTAATTCGCGATGACTCAGGGGTGCGACCAGCTAGCCCGTCGCCCCATTTCACAAGCCAGTGCCACAGCCCCGCTCGAGCAGCACCCACCGCAACCCAACCAGGCAGAGCCGCGTGCCACCACCGAGTCCAGCTCAGCACCGACGGATGACCAAGCGCTACGCCAGCTCTTCGAGCAGCTTGCCCCAGGCGCCTCCTTGCCGCCCCAGGACCTCGCCTAGCGCTATGGAGCCTGGATGCACTCGCAGCTGACGAAGCTCTCTGTCCTGCTACAGTCATTGGGGCAATCATCGTCCCCACTTGGATCCGCTGGGGGGTTGGGCACGTGCTGTCCGAATGGATGGATGGGGGGCTGAAGGAAGAGGAAGAGGAGGATGAGGAGGATGAGGAGGAGGAGGAGGAGGAGGAGAAGGAGGAGGACGGAGGGGGGCGAGATTGGGCAAGCTCAGTCGGGAGGTTAACCACCCCCCTTGATAAACATCCCACCCAGAGAATTGTTCGACCACGCTCCCTAGGCCACGACGCCGCCACTGCAGGGGCGAAATGGGCCCCCGCGCAGCCCCCTCCCCGAAGGGCCCAGTAATCACCGAGCGGCCCTGGACCCCAGTGCATGGAGCAGGCTCGAGCGCAACCAGTTCCTAGCGTAAAAAAGTCCAAGGTTCGCTAGGGACTGGCTTCCTTCAAAACAGCCGAAACCCTCGCGAAACACTTCGAAAACCCTCCAGGAAGGGCTCCAGGAGGCTATTCGGATGCCTTCGGGAGGGTTTTGAAGGGTTTTCGCCGTTTCGCGGGGAAACCAGTCCCTAGCGAACCCGGGGTTTTCTAATCCTAGCGCCTGTCTGTGTCCTCATGGTGCCTGACGAGTTCCTCCCCGACGGGGCCACCTGGGGTGGAGGACTCTGCTCTCTGGCCGCAGCAGTACGGCACCTAGCAAAGGAGGAGAGACATGGTACGCGCAGTGGGGTGCGCACGTGGAAAAAAGCCTCGGTGCTCAGGATCGAAGTAGAATCCTGAGGACACGACCGCGCCACCCTGGGACGCTTCCTGATGCACGCGGGTTTCTACCGACCTGGCGAGTGGCCCGCTCCACCTGCCAGGAAGATGGAAGCAAACGTGCCTGGAGCCACACGTGGAACATCTGGAGGCCGCGCGCTGGACACAGGTGTGAAGGGCCAGCGTGCCTACCAAACCACCACAACCACAAACCACCACACCACCACCACCACCACCACCGCCACCACCACCGCCACCACCACCACCTCCACAAATCACCGCCACCACCACCACCGCCACCAACACCACAAACCACCACACCACAACCACCACCAGCACCGCCACCACCACCACCGCCACAACAACCCACCACCACCACCACAAACCACCACCACCACCAAACCACCACCATCACCAACAACAACAACCACCACCACCACAACAACCACTACCACCACTACAAACCACCACACCACCACAACCACCACCACCACCACAACCAGAAACGCCACCACCACCACCACCACCCACCACCACCACCACCACCACAAACCACCACACCACCACCACCACCACAACGACCACCAAAACCACCACCAGCACCACCCACTACCACAACCACCACCACCACCACCACAACAACAACAAACCACCACCACAACCACCACCACCACCACCACCGCCGCCACCACCACCACCAATCCACCATCACCACCACAACCATTACCACCACCACAACCACCACGGCAAACCACCACACCATCACCGCCACCACCACCACCTTAACCCACCACAACCACAACTACCATCACCACCACCACCAGAAACCACCGCACCACCACCACCGCCACCAACACCACCACCACACCACAACCCACCATCACCACCAACAACAACAACCACCGCCACCACCACCAACCACCACACCACCACCACCACCACCACCACCACCACCACCGCTGCCACCATCACCACCGCCACAACCACCACCACTACCACCACAGCCCTCCACCACCACCACAACCTCAGAGAGGCCCCAAGAGATGCCCAAGAGGCGCCCAGGAGGCTTCACGGGCCTAGCGTCCGCCGAGGTGGTCCCAGTTCGTCGCTCCAAGCGACGGCGGCCACGTCCGTCGTCAAGGCCTCCGTCGCCGCTCTGAGGGCGCCACTGGGGGAGCAGCTCCAGGGTCGGGACGGCCGTGCGAAAGGTCGCTCGGCCACGGCCTCC